TGGGGCAGCACATTTTTAGGAGAAAATGCTTTCTTTATTGAATAGAAAAGGCATCCGGGAAGATTTTTCAAGGGCAGAATCTCTGTAGACTCTCACATGGATGAAAGACTTTGTTGGGTGGGTGGTCATAGTCAACAACAATGTGCTAAGTAACTCAATGGGAGGGCTTGAAAAATTAGAGAGCTTTTTCCTCCAGCAAATAAGTTCTTTAGAATGCTGTTGATTTGTTTTTCAAGATATGAATCTGTGTTACTTGGTGAAATCAAGGTTATGTCTGCATGTGTTAAGACAAATGCATTGAAATAGAACATTTTGCTAAAGGATAACCCGTCCATTATAAACACTTCTCTACTCTTAAACTGAGAACACAAGTATTTTGCTTGGGAAAATGCTTAGGTTTGCTATACTTTCTTACCATTCACAGTGAAAATTTTATATTGTTGTGCCTTCTGTATTTTGAGAAAATTCTTTTGCCCTCTGTAGTCATTGATTCTTTTTTCACAGCACAGTTCAAGCATTTGCTCCTGTGTGAAGAATTTCCTGATTTTCCTAAGGCTGCTCTCTGCATTTGTGGGCTGGGTCTGCATCCAGTATTACAGCACACACTAAACTGTTATTTGTGTACCTGTCTTGTCTCCTCCATATGGCTATCTAGGTGGCAAAAAATATTTGCAATCAGCTGCTAACTTAAAAGCTGGCGGTTCAAATCCACCCAACCAAGCCATGGAAGAAATGTCTGTCGATCTTCTTCTATAAAGATTAGTCTAGAAAATCCTATGGAGCAGTTTTACTTTATAGTACATGGAGTTGCCTTGAATCAGAATCACCTTGATAGCAAGAGGTTTGGTGTCTCTTCCGTAAAAATTTGGGTACCTCATAAATGTGGATCACATGTCTTTATCCCAACCTATCCTGTGATATATAAAAAAAATCTTTGATAAATTCCAAGGATTCAGCAATGCATAAAAGAGAGCCTCTCCATAAGAATTCTGAAAATGTACCTGCCTTTCTGTTTGCTTTTGTTTGATTATGAAATGTAATGATTAGACAAGAACCCAGAGTTCTTCCTTGAATGTGACCTAAAACTTTCATGTAGCAATTTGGCAAATCCTCTTCTTCTTCTTCTTCTTCTTTTTTTTAACTTTAAACTCTTTACATAATCATCTATGGAAGAGTCATTCATAGATTCAGTTCCTGTTGTTGAATCACTTCTATAAATTTTCTTCAATTGTGACTCCATTTCTGTTTTGTAAATAGTAGAGGTATTCTAATGATAGAAAATAAATAGCTCTGTTCTTTTAGATCCTCTAACTGTATTTTCATAATTTATTTCACCTTCATTCTTACCCTATTCCTATTAGGGTATACTTTTATTTCCTTTGAAGCCTTTTACAGCTTTTTATCTTTCCTTTTTACCCTCTGCTATGCAGAAGGCTTTGTATTTATTATTATTATATTTTGGGGGGGGGTTTACCCTTGATTATCTCTCCTTTTGTCAGGCATTTCCTTTTTATTCAAAGTTACTTTTCAAGACTTTGAAAAATTAACTTTCCTTTGGCTTTAAAACTATGTATATATTTTTTTATTTCTTGTGAAGATAAACAGCAAACAGCAAAACCCACTCCCATTCCACATCGTCATTAGTCACAATCTGCTCACTGTGTCATCATTTATAAAATTTGTGTTCTGATTCTTTCACTCTTACTGACTTTGCATCCTCCCTGCCTCTCCAACCTTCTCATCTATGCTTTAGAATAGCTGTTGGCCATTAGGTCTTATATAATTTAAAAAAATAATACATGCTCCAGGGCAACAATCTTTACCTTTTGTGCCAAACTGTTACTTAGAAGTGACTTCTGTCAGGGATGGGTTGTGGTTGTGGTAGTATTGATTCAAAGTGTAAAATTGTTTGTGGAGTGGCTTTTCCAGTGTTTCCTAATGAGATAATCAGGACCTTTTTTTTTTTTAAATGAAAATGAGTGCATTATGGCACTATAATTCATGTTCATAATGACCTTGGGATATGAAGGAAATACTAAATTATTATTGTTGTTGTTGTTAAGTGCCTTCGAGTCGGTTCCGACCCATAGCGACCCTGTACAGGGTTTCCGAGGGTGTTATTATAAGTATGTTATTTTTACGTATATACGGCTTCTTTTGGTAGCAGATTTCTCTACTGCATTAAAAGCAGTCCTTGGTCTCCAGATATCTTTGTCTGATGGGGAATGTAGATGTGGAAAGTTACAACAGAATACTGTACCTAAAGAGCTATGAGAACCAGTTCATCATTTTCTGCTAGGAGAGGCCCAGAAATTTTCATAAAAGATTTGAATAGCATTGGAGTTGAACACTGAACCTTGTAACTAGTTTTAAGAAGAAACAAGGGGGCAAACATAGATCATTCTAAGAGGAAAGTCGAAAGGACACATCTGCAAAATGAAAAACGAATAAGTCATTTAGAAAGTATATTTAAGGTAGCAATTGTTAAAAAGTAGACAAGAGGTAGGTTGTGGGAGAGTCTTATTTGCTAGTCTGATGTTTTATATTTAATTTAGAAGGTCATGGGAATTTACTGATTTTTCTTTTTAGTATAGAAACCTTTTCTGACACTTGTATAATAATGGTCTCATACAGTCTATTTACTTTTGTGATTGACTAATTTTATATGCATAACGTCCTTCAGGCTCATCCACGCTATGAAGTGTTTCAAAAAGTCATCATTATTTTTCTACATTGCATAGTATTCCATAGTATGCATGTGCCAAAGATTGTTTATCTATTCTTCCATTGACTGATTTTTCTTAAAAAAAAAAAAAAAAAAAGTTAGGATAATCAAAGCAGTCTTAGGCTGAGGAATCTGATAGTGATTTGCAGGTTGGATTACAGTGGAACAGAATGGAGGCAAAATATCCAATTAGGAGATAACTGCAGTGGTTTACTTGTGATATCACATGTGCCAAACTTAGATTCATGTCAGGAGTGTGCTTACAGGAAGGATGGGAACACAATTTTCAAAAAGAGAATTGGGACGCATTTGAAAAGAAGAGTTTACTTATACATACATTTTGATGGTAGTTCACTCAGGTAGAAGTTTCTGAGCTCAAACATATAAGACCAGTGTCTATCTATCAATATTGGAGGTGAACAAAGAATTTCTTCATAGTGACTTTTCCAAAATGGAAAGAAATGCTGCTTGGTGAAACAAGAAACTTTTTTGCCCCCCCTGATCCTGTTAGTCTGCCATTTTCATTTTTGAAAAGAAAGCAACAAGGGCTAGGTTTCTTTTTTAAATAAATATAGAGAGACATATAGAGTGGAAGTGTATGATTGTAGAATTCTAATGAACTCTTAGAAAATTACTAGCAACACTCTCATGATGCAAAATGAGATGGTTAGAGAAAGTTAACATTGAAAAGTGGTTCATCTGAAGTTCAGATTTCACATCCGTTTATTGTTAGTCATCACCAAGCCAGCCTGGTTTCTTTGACTCATCCCTATTTTCTCTGAGTTTAGTCCAATTACATCTCTGAGGAAGGTGACATTGTATTAAACTATTGAGACAGTTCTTATTCTCTTATTATTTAACCTTTTATTATTATAAGTTATTATTATAAATGTGTGCATTAGATTTCTAATTTGGTCAAACAATTCTGATGGGTTTATCTCGAGTTAGACTCTGCAGACTTTTTTTTGAAGACATGCATACTTAACCAATTTTCAGTAGATATAAGTGGCTAGGTATTACTTCCTGTTGATTTAACAGTTGCTGAGTAGTTGAATCTTTGTTCAGTCCTGCAATCCACTAATGCGATATTTAATGAGGAGACATCAGTCTGGAGAAAGGTAGTCAATATAAATCAGTGTTTACAAAGTGTGATTAACTCTGAAATATTTCATCAATGCTGTGGTCCCAGGCAGACTCTATGCTAATTACTAGAATCTGCGTCTATTTCAGGGGACTTGGATGGACCCTGAGTATTGCAGACATGGAGCAGCAAAATTGCAATTATACCCGGACCGTCTCTGATGACGATTTATGCATTTGGTGTGATGACCTCCCCCTTCCCAAGAGGGCAATAAACAGAATGCATTTTCATTAAGATACTAATGCACTTAATCACAAGGGGAAAGGGTTAGGAAGCGACGAAAGAGCTTCAAGTACTATGTGACAGAGCTGATAGGGGAGAGAGGTTTCATTTTAAAGACAGCTTCTTTACAAAGCTGTAGGCAGCCTCACTGCACACCCCACACACAGTCATTGGTACTAATTGAAGAAATTTAAAGTCTGGCTCTTCTGGTTCTAGATCTATTGCTTCAAATGGGTAGGGACTACAATAAATAATGTAAACTTTAATATTAAAAAATGAAATGATAAAATATAATTTGAAAGCAAGATTATTTTATTTGTCATATTTTCAAGGAGCTTAAGAGTTTGGAATTAATTATGCAAATAGAGTAGCAAACGTCATCATCATCATCATCATCAAAAAACATTTGCCAAGCCTAGGATTGCATTCCAAGGCTTTGGTAAGTGTTGTAGAAAAAAAACTATGGCATTTCAGCTCTTGCCCTCTAGGAGTTTACCACAGGGCTTCCTTTTTCACAGTGAGCTTTATACTGCGTTTAGTGTCATAAAGACAATAAGCTGGATGCACTCAAGTATTAGTAGCCAGAAAAGAAATTCAAGATTGATGATACAGAAATAGAGTTTGGAGTTTGTATTTTTATGGAAATAATCTATATTGACATTTCCTTTTGATGCTAAGACTCTGGAAAACTTAGCATGTGTGGGAGGAATATATATACTATTCTAATGGTTCTATGCATTGTCAGTGGTTGGAGCAGTGTATCCAGCTTTGGGAGATTTGTGACAATCCTCTTGATCCCAGGTGACTTTTTTAGAGTAAGGGGAGTAACCATTTGTTATTGCCTTTAGGATGCTAATATGTTCCTGCTTTTTTGACTCTAACAACATCTTTTCTTCAAACTCTGTGTTGTAGGTAATATAGAATACAGCTGCCCTGCCACGAATGAATGTGAAATCACAAAGCGCAGACGTAAATCGTGCCAGGCTTGCCGCTTCATGAAGTGTTTAAAAGTGGGCATGCTGAAGGAAGGTAAGGCATTCTGTCCATGGCCCCGTGTTTTAGGTTGGTCAAAGGGGAGATTACAACAATATTAGAGAAAGCAGGGAAAGGTGGGTTAACAGTAAGCACCCTGAGTCTGAGGGTGGAATAGTCCTCCTTTATGACTAAACTTCCTGATAGTTTGTGGATAACTGATTGACTTCAACAGGGAGGGACCAGGTTGGACACATCTGATGTACAGCTCAACCCACCAGGTATGGTTTACAGTTCTGGCGTTTTCATCTTTACGGTTTGCAGAAGGCAAGGGATTAAGAACCACCAAAAGGACTCTGTCGTGTGTCTTTTACTTTTCTTCTAATCTTTACTAAGATCATGCAGGTTTTTAAATTTAATTAGCATTTGTTATTTCTCAGCAATAGTATCTTTTTGGCTTACTTCCTAATAAAGAGCTTGCAACAACAACACTAAAATTATCTTTCATTTGCTTAATATTAGGGATTTAACAATAACAAAATGCAAAATAATTGCAAGGAACATGTATCTTGTTCTAAAAAATTGTCTAAGTCCATAGTGCTAATAAGGAATAGATTGAATCCATATAGTCTGCTACTTCAGTTAGGGACTGAATCCAAATAGTAAGATTCCAGAATATTCTCAACTATGCTATACAAGTCATAAGCCCATAAATACTTATAAATTTCAGCATGTCTAGTCAGCTCCAATTTGGACGGAAGTTGTCCCTTTCTTTGGGAAGCCTAAGACTCAGATTTTTCTCTCCTTTTTTAAAATTTTTTGCAGTGTTAATTTGTTGTTTTGTATATAAAAAAAAAACTCCTTATAAGTATATACTTTTACACATGTGCATTTAAAATGCTGCTTTAATATTTTACTGTTTCCTTTTCTAGAACAAAGTCACTAGAGTTAAAAATAAATATGACAAATTTATTAAGTAACAAAATGAGAATCTAGTAACTAAATATTGAAACAACATTAGATAAATTAAGTATGTAAAAATTTACAACTTCTGTTAAAACAGAGATGTATTTGGTTCATTGAGTTTACCATATTAGATTATACAACTACATATTTTACTGTTACTAGAGACCCTCTTTTTTAAGTTTCTGAATCCAGATGAGCCAAAGTGTTCAATCCCTAAGGAAAAACCAGAATTTTAATTGGGTATGGTTACTAGATCTCGTAATTCTTTTGTGTTGTGTTCTTATTTGAAGATTTTTACTATGAACAGTATTAAAGAAAGATCAGTGTGTCCGTCTATAGCAGGGTACATAGGTCCCATGCTGTATTTCTCTGCTTCTTATGGGAGAATTAAGTGTCTCCTCACTTGACTTGGAACAAAGACCATTGAGTCGACTCCCAACTCATAGAGACCCTATATAGAATGTCTGAGATTTTAAATCTTTACGGGAGCAGACAGCCTCAACTTGCTCCTGCAGAGTAGCTGGTGGGTTTTGAACCTCCAACCTTTCAATTAACGAAGATCCCCTCAAATTCTTACTCTCTTCAACTTTGCTTTTCCAAAGGAAAAGCACTATTAACAATGTATATATAATAAAAGTCTTTTTAAAAGATGGTTAAAATACATTGTCAAGTGAAACACACACAAAAAAGTCCCCAAAGTTGCTTACTGCTGTTGTTATTAAGTGCTGTCGAGTTTGTTCCGACTTATAGCAACGCTGTATAGGGTATCCAAGGAGCAGCTGGTGGGTTTGAAACATCCTATTGGATGTTCACAGTCCAGTGCTTATCCTGAAGTGCCACACCAGAAGCTTAGTTGCATGCTTCGATTTGTGTAAAGTACGATTGGCAGAGACACAGATACAGATAATATGTGCAAAGAGAAGTCAAAGAAAGTTTATATACTGAGGGGTAACAGTGTATCTAGGAAATATAAATGAAGATAGGGTATTCGTTGATCTGTTTTCAGTGGCTAGTCTTTGACCCTGTTAGGATTCTTCACAGTGAAAATGTTTTACATCTATAATCCATTCACTAAACTCCCATGTGCCAGGCACTATTCTAGTCTCTTGTGATTTAATAATGAAAACACAGGTATGGTTGCTCTTGCTAGTGAAAACCTAAGAAAATGCCAAAAGGACAGTTCTGACAATGAAAAACATAAAAATGAAATGTTCAACAATAAAATAACAATCATTGGAGATCAACAGGGCAGCAGAAGGGTTAGGAAAGGAGAAGGAATGGAAACAGGAGTGGGATATATGATATTATATTGTGGAAATTGCAATCAGTGAGATGAAACAAAATATCTATGTGTTGAACAGAAAATTGATCTATTATAAACCTTCACTCAGTTCACAGTAAAAAAGAAAAAATTCAGACAATAACAACCCCACTCACTTGGCAAGGAATTTTCGTTTTAATTATGAAGATGGTGGTAAAGCTAAACTAAACCCACAGTCATCAAATTGATTGTAACTCAGAGTGCCCTTATGTTGTTAAGTGTCATCGAGTCAGTTCCAACTCATAGCTACACTGTATAAGGTGTCCAAGGAGTGACTAGTTGGTTTTGAACCGCTGACCTTGTGGTTCAAATTGACCTTGTGACTGAACACTTATCCTATAGCATCACACCAGGGTAAAACAGCTCCATAGGGTTTCTGAGGCTGTAAATCTTTATGGAAGTAGACTTCATCATTCTTCTGAGGAAATGACTAATGAGTTTCAACTGCCGACCTCTCCATTTAGCAGCCCAAATATCCTACATTTTTGAAGTGAAAAACATCATCTTACTAATTGCCTTAAATCCTATAGCTAACAAATGAAGCATGTTTCAGAATGTAATAATAAGTGACTGGCAGTCAAAATTTGATGTTAATTATACTGTTGTGACTTATTTGGGCTGTAGAGACTCAAACTTTAGTTTCATTCATTCAAAAAAAAAAAAAAAAAAGCTTAATTAAGGGTTTTAAGCAAATGAAGGAGTCGTGGTGCCGTGCTGTGGGATAAAGCACTGGATTGAAAGGTCCGTTTGAACCACAAGGTTGGCGGTTCAAACTCACCAGCTGCTCACTCAGAAGCCCTGTATGGGGTTGCTATGAGTCAGAACCAACTCAACAGCACTTAATAGGTGAAAGTTAAATAATAATTATTTTTTAGGCAAATAATTTTTCTAAATATTATCAATAAATCAATCTTTTAAATTTATGTAGTCTAGATTTGAATTTTATATTCAAAAATGGAAGGGCCTGGAGGTATTTAGTTAAGATTTTACTGCTATATTTACTGAACTCTGCCCACTGAACCTGATTTAGAAATTTTCCAGGTTAAAGGAGGAAGTAGAAAAATTAATGTCCCCTAAATAATCCCTCCCTTCCCCCCGCCTCGCCTCCCCGCCCCGTGTGTGGTTTTTCATCAGGAGCAACCCCGAAGGGTGGTTAAGAGTGACTGAAGAGTGTGAACTGTGTTTAATTAAACATTCTTGGTGAAAGTAAATGGGACAAGGCTTATCTATAATTCACACCTCTTCACTTGCTGTTATCAAGCCTTTAGAGGGTCTGTTTTCAAGGGAATTGCTGCTGTTGCTGATACATTCAAATAATAATTTATTTTTCTCCACTTCCTTATGTCCATTTTAGTGGTACAGTATTCTTTCTCCAGGCTCTCTCACCCAACCCAAATAGAAAGGATGAGATGGTTATGAGTAGCTATGCTATATTGTTTTTCATTTGTACTTTAAAACCGCTGTGAAACATTGCTTTATACCCTGCATACAAATGCACAATTATGTTTGGCTAGCTCCTTGGTGTCATTCTTGCCTTCCAAGCCTGGCCAGAATGATACTGTCTTAAATGTATCTTTATGGATGGAGAGGGATTTCAGTCCCATGTAGTATGTCAGAGATCATGATATAGTAAATCTATTCAAATGTAAACCTGTTCAATTCAATTACTAGTCCATAATAAAATTTGCTGCTACAACCCCCATGTTGACTACAGCAGTCCATATAGGCTGATGCCACAGCAGGTTTGGAAATTGACAGGCAAAATCTATTTAAACAAAAAAAAAACATTAGTTCTAGAATCTGAAATGAAATCAGATTTCAGCAGCTTTGATGGGAACCCTCTTTCCTTTAACAGGTATTTTTATTCAACTAGCCAAATGCATCTTAGATAAAAGAGCTGCCTGAGGGAGATGAAGAAGTTTTCATTAAAAAGGTAGTTTATAGAAAAAGGAGACTTTTATTCTTTTAAAAATAGTAATCCTGAGCTTCATTGACTGGCACCTCTCCTAATTGTGTTAAATTATGTAGGGAAGATATGTAAGTATATGTGGACATGTAAAAGGAAAGTGATGGCTAATAGCTAAGCAATTTTTGTTGCATCACATTGTTTACAGTTCAGCTTTTGTATTTGCCAGCATCATAATTTTATTATCATAATTATTTCTGAATGAATTATGCTTTTTTAATAGCAACTTGCATATTTTCTAGTTAAAAAATACTGTTACCAGTTAAGGCAAAAACAAAACAGTGTGTCTATGAAGGAAAACAACAGAATACCACAACATACCCAAACTTGGTGAAGTTCAGTTAAACAAATGACAGTTTGTTCAAATTAAAGAGTTTGTAGCATTTCACATTTTGAAAAATCCCCTTCGTCTTTCTCTGTGCTATACTTTGCTAGAAAGCGTCACCAACAATGGGCCAGCATTATTTTTTTCAGCATCATTCCGTACTGTATGTTGGAGAAAACCCATCTGTTACCAGATATCTGGTCTCAACATTCCCTTTTCATTTTTTTTCAAGTATTGCTGATTTGAAGGAAAAAAACAAAAACTAATCAAGGTGGTCCTATAAATCTGGTCAAGATTTATTTTTATTTTGATCTTCTCTCCTTGGTTATTTAAAGGCTCTTCTCAGACAGATTGGTTTAGTTTCTCTCTGTCAGTGGCAAACCAGAGACATTTTATGAAAGCAATAATTATTTTATTTATGTGTAGAATTCTTTGAACACAGGATCGGAGAGTTTTTATTTATTGATATAATGGGTTTC